TCGCCAACTAAACTTTTGAGGATGTTCACGCGAGGGCACGCAGTTGTACCGTGCACTCGTTGCAAGATGGTCAAAGTTAGAGGCCTCATATCTTGGGTTATGATGTGATTTGAACTGACTATTTGATTTGCCTAATTCACAGTTTTTCTTTCTATTCTATCTTAATACCCCAAACTTTCCGATAAGTCTAGTTCAGCTGGAGCGAACGAAATGGACCAAAGTCTTACCGTTTCCTTGTTTGTCTAGTAGTGCCTTCCTCAGTGAAACATGGTGTTTGGGTTCGCAGCTCTTTCTCGTCCGAAGGTAATCTGTGACATTCTCGTACTATTCCTTAACCAGAAGAGTTATGTAAAGAACCAATATTATTACTTATACCTAATGTATGGTTAAACTCGGGCATTGTAAAGTTGATGGTCAAACATAATCCTGTACAGTCAACATATGAGTTCACCTCATGGGCATTTTCGCAAGTAGGATCAGATTGTTGTTCACTTCCACGAAAAGCTGGTAGTTTGAAACGCCCCCAGTTCTGTAAGTTTAAGATGAGAAGTCAAGATGACAAATCTAATGGATATGATTCAGAGCAATTAGGTTTTGAAATATTCTTAAAAGTTTTTCGAAATAATACTTACGTTAATTGGATAGGGTGATGCACAACGATAACATTTGAAGCTGTGAGTAGCCGTGACAGCGATGAGGAGAAGTATGAAGAAGTTTAGTAGGGACATCCTTCCTATCTGGAATAATTCGAATGATTAGGGAAAAGAAGACTGGGAAGTATTATTTGAATAAGAACGAAAAGAAGAAGAATGAAGAGAAGAAGACATGTTAATGCATCTGTCCGGATGAACTTCAAGTCTCTTGAGTGGCTCTTTGCATATACAATAATACATCGTCTTAGAGTGAAAAATACAAATCAAACGTGAAAATAGGATAAAGGTGTGCAGCAGGACCCATATAAGAAGATTGGCAGTGAAGTATATCAAATGAAACCCAGTATTAGACCAATTTGTATAAGCTATAGAGTCAATACCAAGAGTTTCGAATGGCGAGAAGGAGGGGCAGAGGATCGTCAAATGTGCTGAAGAATAAGCAGACAGATAGGCCTGTCGAACGCCAGATTCTTTCAATCTTTTGCTCTCTGCGTCTCCTCAATTTCATATGCTTGATATTTATCTATCGTCATATGATCTGTCGTCATTTAACTCTCATAAGTGAGAAGAGGGGAGACAAGCAAATACAATTGTAGAAGATACAGATCGGTTAAGCATAACTTGCCAACCTATTGAGGACTTATACGTGACAAGATTATTGAACAAATCTACTTGAAATGGTTTGTTTCACAGCGTCTGCTCGACCTAAAAACAATTCAACGATGACCATCTGGTAGCATAACCTATAGAGGAAGTCCTTTTTTGTGTCATCAACCAACTAATAAGAACCTCACATATAATTACTCAAGACAAAGGAGATGTTGAGGATGTGTATTGATAACTCTGAAGAGAAGAATGCTAGACGGAAAGTGTCGACAAACGAAAACTGTACTGATGTCCATAAAGGATAACCGTGTAAAAAGATGTTGAAAAGATTCCAAACAAGTCACACCAACTTTTTCCCATAAAATCCCAAAAAAAGTACAATGGAAGACGACTTTTTTCCATCCGATGAACAACGTGGGAGAATTCAAACTAAAGTTGGTTGGAGCTCCCTGTCAATTTGTTATGCTTACTACTGCCTGTCAATTACCGAGAAAACTGAAGTGATGAAAACAACTAATCGATACCGTTTGCTCGTTTGTACTTGATGAAAATGCATTCGACCGCTGAACAAGTTCAAAGTTTGAAAATGATACTGGTAATTTGACGTTAAATCATATGTATTATCTTTCCACGTTTTTCACGGTTTTCACGTGTCCACGTTTTCACGTCACGTTACGAGCGAGAGTATATAAGACCAGAATTTTCTCATTCAATTCATTTTCAATCAAAAACGGAAATATCCATTGCAGACGCAATTATTATGGCATTCATTCCAATTTCCAGTAGATATAATGACTTTCGCTAATATTTAGGTAGGAACGCTGCTGTCTGTAAAATCACACAAGCGCATAGTATATGTCTCGAACATCACTTAGCGTCCCCCCCATATGCCTCTCGGTCAATCGCCAACCAAGCGCGCTCCATTGCGAAAATACTCAGCTATCCTTACCATTAAGCCGAAGATGTTGTGGTATTGAATTTATAACTTTGAATTTTTTGTTTTCTGTTTAGAGATATTCTTATTAGCTTAGTATACTTCTTATGCCACTGATAGATATATAAGGGATAGAATGTAAAACCTTGTCCAAATATCCAAATATTAAGATGGGGCGAGGTAAGAATGCTCGGAGGAAGTCAAGGTTACAAGAAATATCGCAACTTGGAGATATGGATAAATTGTGCGTGAATTAGATACACCTTGTAGATCTTATACTTAGTTTTTTAGAGAATTTAAAATGGATTTCATTAAAGAAGTAGGTAGTCGTTGGAAACGGAACCCTGTATTCACCAGAGCTATTAGAGGTGGGGGAGAAGTCCTATTAATTAACTTATGATTATGTAAAGGACCTACAGCGGAGGTAACTTGTGGATTTCAAGGAATCCCCTTTTGCGTCATTGGGGTGAAAGGAGAAGGAGCAAGTGTTAAGTGAGTCGAATAATTTCTAAACCTTTCTGACATTCCGTTTGAAGAGCTGCCGAAGCTAATCTAGCTTTCAATTTTCTGTCATTCCTTGAAAATGGTTATATCAGTAAAGAATCTGTTAGGAATATCAGAGGGAGATGGGTATGATCAACTGTGTTCAAACTCGCAACTATACTTGTACTTTAGTCACAATCCACCGAGGAAATCGACGAAATTGTGAACGTTTTCCAATTTATAGAAAATGTATTGAAAGGAAATGCCTATGAGGAATTAAGAACTGTTTGTATTTTCATTAATCAATAATTGAACTGTTTGTATCCAGAGTAGGGACGAGACTACCCCCACTTGCCGTTCTCTTGCACGTAACTTGAAAACGAAAGTCAAAGCAGCTCTCAAGCGCAAAGATCAAGGCTTTATGCAGAATCCCAGTTCTACTCGAAAAAGAAAGAATGAAGATTCGATCAGTGAAGATCAACCGAAAGTTCGTAAAACTGATATAGGAGGTAATTGTGTGTGTGTTCCATCATTTGTTATGATACTCTATCTAAGCTGTAATACGAGGGGCCGATGATGATGAAATTATATGCTTGGACGACACCGGTGATTTGTCTACAAGTATAAACGTTTCACCAGCCAAAGAGAAAGATACCATGAAAATCTTAGAAGCATGGGCTGCTCTCGAAAAGAAGGGTTTTTATGCAGGTTTTGTTCTTTTCATTTGGATGTTCACCGTAGGAGTTTAGGATCTGAATCCTTAGCTGATTGGTGTTCCAAGAACTGCTTACCTGTTGACTTTGAAAGATCTTTGTTGGGTGTTGAGTACTGCGCACCTCACGGTCATCAAGATAGGATCAATAATTATATATCGAAGTAAATGATATTTAAGAGCTTTCTATAACAATTCTGAATAGATATCCAGACGACATCGAAAGACTCGAGAAAAACATTTGGAAACATTATGAGAGTAATGGACAGGTACCCCTTCATCCTAGATTTGGTTCTGCAATCCATCGATTTAGAACACTCTCATATACAACAGTAAAATGGAAGCGCGTGAGTTGCTTCTCGAGCAGATCAGTTTGGTAATTAGCTTCATGTTCTTCCTGTTTAAGAATTGTTGCATTCAGTTATTTCCTCGTCGTCATCTTCAAATGTTTGCTGTAGGATCCACTGTTAATGGTTGTGGAAGTTATAATTCAGATATGGATTTGTGTCTTTGCATGCCAAAGGAAGGCACTATAGATGACTTCGAAGTAGACAGGACGTTAGTTTCTTGTAAGTGTGCACTCTCATAATATCGTTTCGTTTAAGTTCTGCTATGAGAGTTCTGAGGAAAATAAATACAGCTATGAGCACCAGGCCTGCTTTCAGGAAGTTAGTCAGAAGAGCAGATTTCGTACCCGCAAAGGTTAGTTGTGTTCTGAAGATGAAGTCGTCAATCAGTCCTCTTAAGGTGCCGATAATAAAAATGAAAATGAATCCGCCATACGAAGAGTTGGATCTTGATATTAATGTAAACAATACTGCAGGCATATACAATTCCCATTTAATCCATTATTACTCCAAGTATGATTCTAATGATAAGGTCTGTTCAAGTTTATACTTTTCAGGGTTGACGCCAGGTTTCCAGCTCTAGCCCTCCTAATAAAACACTGGGCTATTACTAATAATGTTAATGATCCAATGAATGGTACGCTCAATAGGTAGGCGAATGCTACTGGTGATTATGATACTGATTATTCCTTCTCTCTAGTTATTCTATCATCCTCCTTGTGTTGCACTATTTACAATGTGGTGTGCGTCCTGCAGTTCTGCCCAATCTTCAGGTACTTCAGAGACTCCTTTTTCTAACTGAATTCTCTATCTAGTATCTATTCCCTAAACGATTTTCTGATATGCCACCTCTTAATGAATTACATTTATATCAAGACCTTATCGGAGTACCAGGTATGAGCTACATGTCAGCTGATCCAGATTATCTGTTTCAGAGCGTCCTATGAACAGTTCATCAATAGCGGAGCTATTGATAGGTTTTTTTTATTATTATAGAAGTTTTGATTTTACGACATATGCTATATCTATAAGAAATGGAAAGCGGTTTCTAAGGTTATTCCCAGCTTTCAGTTCTTTCAATGTTTTGTTTTTCAGGGCGAAAATGTCCATTGACACACAACATTATCAAATGTATTTAGAAGAGCCTTTTGATGGTAAAAATACTGCCAGGTTTGCCTCAGTTGTTGAGTATGAAGCCTTAACCGTTGCTTTTCCAGATGTGTAACCAAACCTCATTCAATGCATAGTATACGTCATGCCATTAATAAAGCATGTATCCAATTTTGTGAAAAATCTCCAAGACTGAGCAACATAGATGTTAAGGTTTGAGATACGCGTCATGGGCTATTCACGTAGCACGGACGCATTTTTTTATGTTTTGTTATTGTTTTCCATGTTATTAGATTGAATGTAGTGAAGAATTAAACATATATTTGAAAAACATCAACTTCAATCAACATTCTTCTATTTCTTTCCATAACCGTATGAACCCATGGGCATTTGAGGCATTTGAGGCATTTGAGACATATAGACATGAGGTGGAGGAGGAGGGGGTTGAGGTGCTGATAGGTAAGTTTGATAGAGCTGAAATTAACTTTGTTTCATTTTATTAAAAGGGAGAAAACTCACTGGAACAGGCATAGCTTGGGGAGGCGGTGGCGGAGGCATCGGCGGGGGTGCCATCTGAGGCTGAGGAGGCATTTGTGGTGGCGGCGCCATCATTGGGGGTTGTTGAATAATAATGGTTGGCTGTCCACATCCACATCCCATCATTCTATTTGGATGATGAATGAAAAACAACTGGATAAAATAAGACTTACCCACATCCACATCCTCCATACATCATTTGTCCAGTAACGCTAGAAGCGACAAAGAGCAAAATGAGCAACCTCATGTTGTTGTGTGAGAGAGAGAGGAATTCTGTTTTTTATACACTTTATATATTTCCATTCCAAACTCACTTGATGGCTATAGGTCACAGTAGTACAGTTTTGGCTAGAGTACCTTCGCCGAACTGGATCTTCTCGAGGTTAGGGTGTGACGAGACAAGAGTACCATTCATTAGATTGTGCAGGGACGTGACCGACAATGAAGGAAAATGGGATTTTGAATGAACGGAAAAGAAAGAGATCATCGGAAAGTTAGAGAGTTAAGAAGTTAAAGCTAAGCTTTCTCATTAGACTAAAACACTAACAACATGTTCTATGACAATACTTGAATTTGCTGCATATTGATTCGTGTTACCGGATTGTAGAAAGAGGAAATGTGAAGTTGCTATGCCAGCTGAGACATTCGTCTTTGGAAAGCTCTGTAAGATTTAAACGGTAAATGAGCTAAACCGCTTCCATGGCTGACATCGTGCTGACAGCAGATATTTTGAGATCTTCAGGCTTAGTATGTTTCAAGAAGTACTGATCTAGCATTTCAACAATTCCCTGAGAGACAGAAACATATATGTGAGCTCCCTACTTAAAAACCTGTATTATGGTTAAGCTTAGAGTTATCACGGGTGCCGTATCTTTCCTGTGGTCTATCACAGTAATAGCTGCGGATACGAACAGAGCAAGTTTTAAGAAAAGCTGTAATGATACACTATATTCTCTTTGGTTAGGACGGATTTACTTTGGCGAAGTTGATAACATCACGAAGCCACCATCTCCTTTCTGTTTTCACGTCAATGAACTTGATAACCTTCTCCATGTTTTCGCTATTACGGTTAATTCTCTCGCGTAAAGCATTCTGTAACGACTGCATCATGGGAGTTCTATTAAACCATAGAAGCTACTTCATCGAACGGTTTTCCTCCAGTACCAGTGTCACGTATTTCTTTACCATCCTCGTTTTCATGTATCTCACCCAACGCTTGGTGGGAATCATTCCTTATTGATGAGGGTAGTCGCTCTGGATCGTTAACAAACTACAACAATAAATGATGTTTCTGAAGGTGGTCTTACCGAAGCCAATATGGAATATAGTTTACAAAGATCACAGGCTAGTTTCCTGAGCATAGCATTCTCCTCAGGCGGGATGTTGAGTACAGATGAAACTGTAATATTCTAGTTTCAATTGAAGCACTGTCTGATCTTACCTGTTATTTTCGTAAGCGCTACTATGGACGAATGTACAGAATCTGCTGTTATAATTGTCAGTTCCCTGCTTTCATTACTTCTTTCTATTTCCGTTGTGAATATTGTAAGTTGTTGTTGAGTCTGAAAATACAGTGATCTATCGGAGCAATATTGGAGTCAACCGGTTGATGCGCTTGCATTTTCAAAAATGATATATCGCGCTCGTGGTTCACTAATTCTCTTGACGTGTTACGCGTGACGTAATATTCAAATATCTACCCAAGTCAGCTGAGTACGTAATGGTCTCAAATCAGTAATGAAAGTGCCCTGTCTATTCCCGAAAATATCTATTAAACCATTCCATGAACAGCAGGTACTTTGTGATACGGGATCGTCGTCCATCCTAATAATCGAGCTGTATGATAATTATGCTTCTTATTAGTATCAAATACAACAACTTACGAAACTTTCAGAATCGCTGGTTTCGTTACACGTTCGATCTCAATCGGATCTTGAACGTATGCTTCATTTGTCGCCATTAGATAGACAGACAGGCTATAGAATTTCGAAAGTAGGTCTGAAACTTCGATATCGAACTTGGATGTAATAGATTCCACTTCAAGTTTATTGTTTGCGTGATAAGAATATTTGTTTAAATGAACTTTACATTAGTTTAAGTGTGAGCAAAAGGAAAGGAAGTACTTGGGTGTAATTTGAAATGGTTTGTTAACGTTTGTAACCTATTACATGTGCTTATCTGCTGTCCAGTATCAGTAAGGGTCATTCTTTCGCAAACCTTTTTTCAACTTCAAGTTTATCAGTAATTCTAACCTCTAGTGACTCACGATCACACATACAAATCACAAAACGATTGCCCCGAACCAGGATCGAACTGGTGACCTTTAGATCTTCAGTCTAACGCTCTCCCAACTGAGCTATCGAGGCTACATGACTCTCACCCTTGTTTTACCACAGCAGAATCACACGTAGATTTTGCCCATTCTTGAAATTGAACACATGCAAACGTTTGTTATCATCCATATGTTCGAGACAAGTGAAAAAGAAAATTTTATTTCAATAGTATTGAAGTGCATATACATGGGAGTTATATAAACATATGAAAGGCTCGGCCTAAGAGATCGAAATTATGAAATGTGTACCATTTTGATGGAATTATTATGTATGCTGAGATCCAGATGAAAGAACTTGGAGAGTTAATCTATCCTGAGTAGTTTATCTAAGCGTGATTGGAGTTCAGCATTCTCGTTTTTGATCAATTTGACTTTCAATCTGTGGAATAGCGGGGTTAAATCTCATATGCTTCATCAGGACTCACTTGCTTTCCCTCCGCTCTTGTTCAAGTCTAACAGTCATGAGTTTTATCTCTTCTCGCAATACAGCTATGAGATGGCTTTGATCGCCCAATAATTTGCTCACTTCTGAAACCCGAGAGATCGAATGTATTTATCTACTTATCTAATACCTTTAGAACAACCTCCTAAGTGATCTTCTACTGGCACGTTTCGGAGACTTTGCGTTCGTAGGTGCATATTCTCTTGATTCAGAATGGAAAGTCGACTCTTAGTCGTGGAAGTTTCTCTTCTCAAATTCGATATCTCTTTAGAATATTGTTCACACAGGGAATTGAGTTGATTAGACTTCTCAGTCATCAAATCTTTTTCTGACTTCAACTGCGCAACTTCAATTTCCTTGTTAGATGTGAACCCTTAAGCAACAGAAGGTAATAAGAGGAGAAACATTCTGGTTACCTTCAAGTTTCATCTTCGCTTCTGCACACTCTTTCTCTAGTTCTTCGACTTTCTCCATAAGAGATATGATGCTGTCTTGCTTCGTTCGGGCATTTAGCTCAAACTCTGCTCTTTGACTTTCACATTTGCGTCTTTCGTCTTTGAGTTCTTGGTTTAAATTGGTTTCGTTCCGTTTACTCAATTCTAATTCGATGCTTATCTGAAATCAATAGATGAAAAACAGTTTACAAGCTATATGAACCTCTTTCAGTTGATCGTTGAGAGCCAGAACTGAAGGAATGGGCCTCTCACCTGCTACCTTCTCTTTGATGGAGTGAAGCTCTTCTTCTAACTCATAATTCTCATTCTGAATAAAACAGTTGACAAGATGATGTAAGACACAACAGTACCTGTAGACGTTCTATAGCTTCTAAGGCTGTTTGAAGCCGACTATTGGCTTCTTCTACTATTTGGTTAGGTAAATCCCCGTATTTCTGTAAGTTTATACGATCAGTGACCATATCAAGACACAGTCAACCTTCTCTTGTTCCTGTTCCATACTTGAAAGCTGTTCTTTACAAGCTTCAAGCTCATCGTGTATAGCACTCATGACATTGTCTTGTTTTTCTATTAACTGAACCAACTCTCCAGGTGTTGGGACTGAAAAATCGATAGAGGTCAAGCCGAATGAAGCGGTGACTACCTTTATGCATGAGACCATCAACCATTTACGGAATCTAGAAAGAATAAAGAAATATTGTGTTATGCTAGTGAGTGTGTGTGTGTGTGAAGTATTCGTTGCCGTGGACATGAACCAACTGTTGAAGTTGAAAGATGAAATAAGAAAAAATATTTATTTGTATCTCTAAAACAAAAAGTGTGGTCTGCTAAAACATTAACCAAAAAAGGGTATAAGTTATAATAAATATGTATAGAAACTTCTTAAATCACAAAAGTGGAGGCTATTATGCGTAGTGGTATAGGGTAGCGCAGCATCTTGTTAGTTTTCTTTTCGAAACAAGTAAGTAACCCACGGCCACTTAGCGAAATATTTTTTCCACTTTAGCCAAGGCTAATTCATGATCACATTCAAATAAACCGAATAATGGCTCACATTAGAAAAATGAAATAAATAAAAATTTGTATAAATTATTGTGGAGAGTTAACATCAGTTGACATCCGAGAAAGGATGAAGTGAAAGAAGGAATAGATTGCATGAACACACGCGTTCATAAATTTCTACAAACAACACGAATCGATCAAAAAACCTTAAAAAGAACAGATTCCTACATATAGTCTTATTCACTTACTTATTTGGCATGTTGTTCCTTGAGATGAAGGATCATACTCTTCATTCTGCTCACATCTTTACCTCCTTTCTGAGCCTTGGCTTCGCATAACTTTACGATTTCGTCCCATTGAGCAGCATCTCCTTGTTGATTACTATAGGCAGCAAGATGTTCTGCTTCAGCTTGTCTGAAAACCCAACCCATAAAAATCAAGAATATTTATTGCTTACCTATTGGCTTCCTTGGTTCCTTTCAAGGTAGCATCTCTTTGTTTGTACCAATCTTCGAGTTCCTTAGTGGCATTAGTCTTCCACTCTTGTTTCTTCTTCTCCTCAGCTTCATCTATATACAAATAGCATTAACATCATGAAATATGCAAAAGAACTAACCTTTCTGAGCGAGCACAACTTTCTGCTCCTCGCGCCATCTCCTGATGTTCTCAGCTTCAACGCGAACAGGTACAGGGGATGGTCCATTCGAACTCAAGGATCCTGAGTTAACAGCAGGAGCTTGAACGAGAGGATAAATACATGAAAAAAACAACGAAACATACGATTTGTGTTCATCAGTCCACTAAGGTCAACACCTGAGTCACCTCCTTGGATGCTAACTGGATCTGGCACAACAGCCATATCTCCGAACTCATTGACTAAATCAGCTTCAACAACATTGACTGAAAACAAAAAAGTTGAACCATAGCTGACTTTTCAATAAACTCACCGGCAGCAGGATCAGCTGGTGCTCCTTCGATCTCAGCCATAATGTCTTGTTCGCGAGCGAGGAAATCAGCAACAGGATCAGCCATCTCCGGATACTAAACAATAGATTCATCATAAATTTAATAACATAGCAGTATAAACTATCGAGCAAAAACATTTACGAAAATAAACAGTGCCTAATTACTATTATAAATAACGAAAATCTATCTTCACGTTCAAGGTGACCATGCAGAACACTGACTACACGCGCCGCTGCGAACGCGCCACTTACGCGGCGCAGACTCCAGATCATCGTGTGTCTTTCTGCAATGGAGCAAGGATTCGTATTGTGTTCTATTTACAACTTACAAGAAATGGTTCAGACAGTTATGCTACATGATTTTTGTTGAAAATACGATAATGAAAGAAGATTCTTAGTATGATTATTGATTTTGTGTAAATTTGCATTGTATTCCCTCTATATGAACTATTGAAGCTGGCACCCATTGAGCTGGCACAGAAATTAGCATAATTTTGAAGACGCGTATTCGACGCGTGTAGTTTCATTTTTGAATTTGTTTTGGTCATGAGCGGTTGATTAGCTGTGCTATTGTTTGTTTCCAGCTGGTAAGTGGTAACTTTTTATTATTTTCTTTTCTTTTGTATTTCTGTATGATATTTTGTGGGTGTGTGTGTGTTAGTGAGTGTTCTTTGGAATATAGAGAAGACATAGACATATCTATTTGGAAATGTTTTTATTTCATTCAGATTTCTTAAAGAGCAATGACCCGTTCAAATTGAATATATTGCTAAGGTTAGGTTAATATTACCACATTAATTGAGAACAACAAAGATCTTCAAACAGAAGACTGAAACTTGTTTCTAAGTTTCAGAAATATAAGCGAACTGTAACAAAAAAATGGAATTTAAGTGAAAATCTCTTCTGTTAGTAAATTGAAAGCAATTTTGGATTTCAATCTATCTACTTGTATACGTCTGGATCGGTAATCATCAGAAACATTGACTGTAACTCCAGGGGTCATAGTCAAGGAAAGTAAAGCCTCCGCTGAATTAGTAGAGGGAAGTACTCTACCAAAATCCCATTCGGCTTCTGTGTTAGGCACTACCTGAAAATGATTTATGAGAATTGTTTTCCTTGTCACATTATCTCGAAAGAGGTAACTTGTTACTGACCTTAACGAAATCAACAATTCCTTGGATTGTGAAAGAGGTAATGCAGTTATAGAGCGCGATAGTTCTTGGTGGTTTCTGACTCCATGCTCTCAAGGTATTGTCTGTTAATTCAGCTAAGTAGAGGGGTGATCTTGGCTGAATTCTTAAGCATTCCAGTTCAGGTAGCAACCTCAGAATCTAAACATCTAATGTTTGTAATATTCTGCAATTTCTGATCTACCTTGTCGTTGATCACGTCTGTATGGAAATGACAGAAATCTAATGTCAATGAATTGAGTCCGGTCTTCAGGAGAATGCTTGTTAATTCCTCTTCCGTTAAATTCATTCGACATAGAGTGAAAGTGAGATTGTTGACAGAACTGAAAAAATGAGTAAGATTAGGTGATAAGATATGGTGGACAGTTTTGCACTTTAGTGGACACTCCCTTTTTTAAGTTGGAATTTTTACGAGAATTTATGAACTGCTTTAGAATGTCTCGTTGACATTTCCATTCATCCCTTGTTCATCATGACAACTTTGTGTTGACGGCCAACGTTAGATGATGACAACTGTATGCATGTCATCTATCAATCGGCGTCCTGTTAACCGTCAATCAGTGAAAGTCATCGATGTGAGTGAGGCTCAGGTAATCTTAGTCCTCATTTTTCTGTCTCTCTCTCTTGCCCCTGTTCTCTTCTACTTCTCTCTTTTCTTGACTGACTAATGCAAACGACAAGAAGATATTAGTTTTCAGTATGAGATAAGTGATTCCAACTCGCACTGCCTCGCAAAAGATAAACAGCATGTAGATGGCTTGCTAAAATCGCAGGCGCCAGAATACCGGACAAGACGAAGAAGAACCGTCGTCGTCAATTGTCAATCAGTGTTTTGGATGTTTTTGAGGGAGCACAGTCGACTCTCGTGATTGATAACTTCATCTGTCAATTACCTGAGATCGTTCCAACGTGATGTTACCATTTTATGAAAGCTGCTGTCTACATTAATTCCATCAAATGAAACGCGGTTCGCGAGCTTTACCTAAGAGAGAGAGAGATCAATTAAGTTGCTGCTGATGTTGTCTTACGGTTTTCAAAGTTTTTTCGATGATTTGGGATTCGGATGGGTTACTTGGACCTTCCACATTCTCTTCTTCAACCAAATGATGGTGCTTGTTCTTTCTTTTCATAGTGAACATCACTTTTCTTTTCATTTGGTTAGAGTTCTTCTTTAGTTGTATACGACCCATAGGAGCTGACCGACTGGGTGCCGTTCGTATAGTAACACTGCAAACTCATCGTTTATAATACCAGACTTGCGAAATACGATAGTAAACCACATGACTATGGATAGATTACCAAAGCTCTAATGTTTACAAAAAGAAATAAGTATTACCTGAATTCATCGACTACTGGTCGACCAAGACGATGATGATTGATAAGATCATTCATCCTTCGATTCATACGACGAAATTTGGCTACTGTGGATGGACTAGAGTTCTTGAGCACATGGACAATGACCTCGTCAGGTAAGTTGGTGAATTCCATAGCCTATAAGAAGGATGGATAAAGCTTGTCATTGAGGAGTAGAAGATGAAAAGCATAAGGAGAGGGTATGGAGAAGGCATAATTACAAACAAATTATGGAAGAATAAATAAAAAAAGATACTTTCATGCATATTTATGGAGAAATTAGAATACATTATAGGAGAAAAAATGGAGAAGAAAATTTTATGGTTAAGGATGTACTTTCTCTTCATTTTAAGTCCATAAATGGAAAATGAGATGGAAGGGTCTGTTGCAGATGTGGCTCATTGCTACTCGTGGTATCTGAGTTTCAGATGGGTTATTAGAAGTTATATATAGGAGGTTGTACAAAGAGCTACTCGAACAAGGTGTGAACTGCACGACCTATGACCACAGGACATTTGCCTATGTTTTGGAGCAATTAAGGCGCCATTCGGCTCCTGGAACAGCGCTCAAGTGCAAGGGGGGCGTTTAGACACTATGACGATGGTTTATATGAACACAGACGATTTTTTGACGGACAGGCTGTTACAATTAACACCTATTAAAAAGATTGGCAGATGACGTTCGTCATACTCAGATGCTTGCTTAGGCCGATTAACAAATCAGATGACAACTGAGTAATGCTTGATGAACAATTCATATTTTAAAAATAATATGGAATTTGCTCATTTTTTTTGACCTACTTGATCAGTTCATGGATAAGGAGAGGAATTCCATTTTGATTATAGGAGGGAGGAGTATTAAGAGAGAGAGAAAGGGAAAGACTAGTAAGAGCTGATCAGCTGGCCGTCTGATAGTGGTCACAGAAGTCTTTTTAGGAACTGTCGAAGCTTTACTGTCTTTTATAGTTAATCACGTCAGTTTCTGCCGGAGAGAACGTCAATCTCTCATACGGGTTGGAGCTTTTATTTTTTGGAAAGACTGCTCAGTCTCTCCCTTCAATCTTCTCATTCTGTTGCTCATCATGAGCAGCTAGACAATAACTGAACCGAAATGGACTTGATTAATCAAAAACTGAATAAACAACTGTCAGTCAATCTAACAATTTCTTCCATCGAAACAGTTTCTGTTGAGATCTTACATCGTTCCTAGCCGAATGATGAAATTCGTTATTTTGAATTATACGATATTTTCGTCGCTTAGAGCTTAGAAGATAAGATGGACCGAGCGTTTCGGATTCCTATCAGCTGTTTTGCAGAGAGCTGTCAGTTACGGTTTTTACAGGGAATGAAGAAAGAGAGAAAGAGAGTGAGAGAGAGGAATGACGTTAATTCCTCCACGTGTGCGCTTCCGTTTCCTGTACGGAATATGGAGCGATGTAACGACTGCCGCTAACTCAATTTAAGAATTTACAGGAAAAAAAAAGAAATTGTGAACTAATCATAAAGTTGAAGCATCTGAAATTTTTGGCGATAAAGGAGAAAAGTCGACGTCTGTCACATATTCTGTCATTTTGTTCTGGAGCCGTCGTCTTCCTCGACGTGGACGCTGTCGTTCTCGATATCATTGACTCTCTCATAACTGAAAGATCTCTCAAATCCGTTAAAAGACAGAAAACGACAGGCATATCGGACAGAAAGAAAGACAGACGGATAGACAGATTAAACGGACAGATGAAGTCAGTTCTGCCAACTGTAGAAGATGTGATGATTTTCATTCAAAATTTAATGATTAATTGATACTTTTGTTCAATAATCTCTCATTAGAGCTTGTTTTTAATGGATTATAATGAAGAAGAGGCCATTAAAATGAGAAAACAAGATGATTGACATCACCCTTATGTGACAAAAAATCTTTTTTTTTCTTTTCTTCTCATTCAGCGGTAATCATCTCTCGTCAATGGCAATTATCATGTTTTCACAGACCTATCGAGCGACTGTAAAAATGTAAAGAAAAGCAACCGTTCTGTGTGAGCGAAGAGATATAGAATGAGCTTTGGACGCGTAAAGGAAGCAACGTCTCATTAGCATACGTGAGAGACGTGAGCAGCAATATAGACAGTAAGAAGGTTTGAATGAGATGGAAATGGGAATAGGAGTAGTTGATGATTGAATATGAAAATACATATTAAGGAAATGACAATAAAAAAGATTTAGATGAAAGAAAGTAGGACAATTAAAGGAAGGAGGGAAAGTGAGAATGAGATTTGAGAAGCGATACAGAGAGGGAAAGGTTGCTTTCCGTTTCTGTTGTTGGATTTGTGAATCAGAGAGAGAAAGTTGTTTATATAAAAAGATATGAAAGTTTATAAGTTGGAAGGTCGAACCTTTTCTGGCAAGTCATCATTCGTGTTCATGACAGCTGATTGACTAACATCTCTGGATACATACGTGTAAATGACAGGCGCCGTGCTTTCGCAGATGATGTGTCACTCACTCAATATGCCTGAGGGCAATGAGGACGTTAGTTTGCCATTCATCTTTTCTCATATAAATCCTTCAAACTGATTGGTCACTGATATGGTTTTCTATTTTCTGACTATTCAACCAGCTGTCTGTTGGTCCGCTAGCAGTGAAAGTCTTCTCCAATCAGTTGAACACAAAGATATGTTTTCTATCTTGCCGTGGGTGATGAGCATACATGAATATGCCCTCAGTGTAGTGTGAACACTTGTCTATCGGCTTGTTCATATGCAATAAGCATCTGAACAAAGTCAAAGCCAATAGGAAATGACCTGACTGTTTGTTTATGAAAATGGTTGAAGAGGAAAACAACAACGACAACAGAAATCAGAAAAAGGCCAACAAAAAAAGGAAAAAGACGGAAAAGCACGAAGGAAGTCACACAAAAAGGAGTGCTTGTCTGCCTGAACGGAGTAGTGTCAGCTCTATTGAGCGACTTCATTCGTCTTGTGTGAGGCCCATAATATGACACACTGTCTGTCCCAATCACCCTTGTCATCGTCGTAGTCGTCGTGCTATGTTAGAATTCGACATCTGACATATCATTCAGATGATAACAACTTGAAGATTTTCACAGATTATTTGAGTCAGGATGGGATTTCTTTCTTAAAGAGATATTAACCAACTTGACGATGAGCTCACTTGGCAAGTGATGGGTCAAGACGTCGTCGATTGGATCTGTCAAACATAATTCAGACGATGCGTTGAGCATGACATCTCAACACTTCTAACATCTCCATCTTTCTTGATGTTTTTACGTTCTGTGTGTGTGTGTCTTCATCATTCTTTCGAACTGAACCTGACTGGCTGTCTTCAGATGCAACCCAGGCTGACAGGCCTTAACCCAGTGACTAAGGCTTTTACCGCCCTTTCGAACCTGATGATGATGGGCAGCACACGTCAACTAGTCAGTCACAGCGACTAAGATAGCATTCCAACGTAACTCGAGCACAAAAGCATCAATGGCAGAAGCAAAAGATTAAGAAACAAAAAAAAAGGTAAAGTGTACTTGAGAGGATAGAGAGATGGTTCGAAACGGCTACTCCTTTTTAAAAGCAAACAACGGAAATAAATAGAGTGGCGCCTAATTTTTATTACTCGGCTTGGACACAAAAGGGTTTGAGCATCAAGGTCGGAAAGAAGTTTTATTTAAACCATGTCTTCAAACTTGAAACGAAGGATAGCTTGAAAGTTGGTTTTAGAGAGAAAACGAAGAGAGAACGAAAAAAGTGATGATGATGAGGAATATTTCCTCTGATATGAAAGTAACGAAGAAAAGGACTTTGATGGATGGATGGCTGTCATTCGCTGGTTGATGGTGGAAGCAACAGATTTGATGTTGAGAAAGATTGCTGAACGGAAGAGGCTGGTGATAGAATGAAACGAACGACAGTCTTCGTCGTCATGGTTCTGTCGATTTTCTAGTCGGCGTTCAAACGATAATTTCCAACTGATAGTCTATGTGGTGTATAGAGAATGGGAGGTACAGACAATGCTGCTAATAAGAATGATAGAAGAAGAATAAGAATACAAGGGGAACAACGGCTCTTACCTCTTCCCAGAGCTGAATTAATACAAATATGGGTGGAGGGGGATGAGGATTGAAGGTTAGTTAAGATAGACAGAGGTCGAAGAAGATGTCGCCTGATGAACACAAATTGACAGTTTTACACCTGAGTGAACATCAGAACTGTCTTCATCTAATAGACGTCGGCAGGCAAGATACACTTGCAGATTGACAACGGACAGGTACACAAAAAAAGAAAATGAATGAGTAGAATGATGAGAGACGAGAACAAACGGACGGAAAGGAATAGGCCAAAGCTTGTGTGAATTACCTCTTGTAGACTTGCCAACTGAAGTTTCAATTAGTAAGTCTGCCATTCAAAGAGGCTTCTACTTTTTCTTTTATAAGTGGTTGTGTGGTGAAAACGGAAAAAAATCTTCAAAAATTGACGAAAATAATCCATGAAGACAGGATGCTGAGGCTGTTAGTCTGCTCTTCAGCTAATGGGATATGACATGAATAGTTCGTTAAGAGAGGAATATGGAGACGATTGAGCAATTTCTTGTCAAATTAAGATATGTAAATGAAGAAGTAGAAGAATGAAGGCAGTAGTTGCAAACGAATACTCTTGTGCAGTAGGCGGAGCTTCACTATGGAAGTTGGGTCAGCGCGTACCCTCATATCCATCCTGTCTCCTCCCCGTTTCTACATAATATCGAAGCGGAATGAGCAATTACAAATATACTTAAAGTTTTGATTACAAGAAAACGTTTTTTGTCTTCGCAGAAAGTGTATTGGATAGCTTTTCTGTCTATATTGGGCCATGCTAAAGTATTAACGACAACAACGAGATAGATGGGAGAATGTGATGTCCATGTATAGGATGTATTAATCAAGTCCGTCGTTGGCATCGTCTTCATGTCGATCATCAGTACAACCTTTGACATTTGAATGCTTTGATATGACGTCCAATGCAATATGACGAGATGGATTCAAGTCAATTATTTTCAAAAACTTCATGGATATTTAAAAAATGCACCAACACTAGAGAAATTGACCAATATTCTGACAGAAGGCAAAGGAAAGTACATCAGAAAGTCGACGAAGCA